CGGTGTGCGGGCCCTGACGCCCGCCCGGGGAGCGACACCGTCGCTCATTCAGAGGACGGCCAGATCTGGGCGGGAAAACAAAAGTCACAAAGAAATTTGTTTGCCACCGTGCAAAATGGCGGCACTTCGACATCTTTCTGGTGGTGGCGGTGGTCCTGGCCAGAGAGCCGGAGTTGCCCTGGGTCAGCACGGCCCTCCAGAGCCCGGAGGCCCCGGGCAAGCGAGGGGCGAGGGACCCCCAAGGCCCCCTCGGCCTCCTTCGCCCGCTCGGCCGGCCCCTGCCTTCCCTCCAGCCCGCCAGGCCCGAAGCCCGCGCCAGCAGCCCCTGGCCACTGACCCCTGTTTACAAACATAGAGCGGGGGCGGGGTGGGGCGGCCGGAGCGCGGGCAGGCGGGGTGGGGGCGGCAGCGCGCCCCGGAGGACGCCACCAGCAGAGAGGAACGAGGAGTCGGTGCGAGAGCGCTGGCCCGGCAGCTGGAAAGGACTGAACGCCTTGTTTTTGAAACTGTCAATTCTCTCAACCCCTATTGTGAGGGCTTCATGCAAAACATCTCAGGCCTTTTAAAGTAGGAGCTTGTGAGGCCGCCACAGTTTGAAAAGGAGCGAGAGAGGAGAGGGGGCCCAGGGCATGGGCAAAGAATGATAGCTGGGCCCCCAGCCCCCTCCTCCCCCCCTCTTTTTTTTTTTTTTTTTTTTGCAAAAGAGGGCCCGCCAAACAGGTAAAATGCAGCGCTCCCCCAGCTCCTAGATCTGCCCTGGGTCCTCACTCCCCAAGCTAGTTTGCGAAATGCCCTTTGGCCTAGGGAGCAAACCAAAACCAAAGCTAGCATCAAAAATAGTGCTTCCTTACAGGAAAGGGGAAAATCCTGGGGATGACTGGGGTGACCGGGTGGACTAGCTAAGGTGGATGTCCTGTTCCTCCTTGCCAATTTCCTGAAGTTACTTGATGGGGAGCTGCCCCCTCCCCTTTCTAGTTTGGCTCTGGGAACTCCCTCTTTCAGCAGGAAGCTATTTTCAAGGTGAAGCAAAACTCACCACATTTTCTTTCTTTTGTAGATACTAATGCTTTATTTAAAAAAAAAAAATTTGTACCATGAAGGATCTCTGTTTTATGTGAAAGAAAAAAATGCTTTTGAGGAATTAGTTTCTACATCTCTTCCTGCATGCAAACAAAACTATCATTCTTATATTAGCAGAAACTCCCAGTTCTTGTTGATTAGAACTTTGAGGAATTTCTAGACCATTGAAAGTCACCCAGACACGGATAAGATAAAAATCCAACACCAGCCCATCTAGTTTGTGTTATTGCTGTTTAGCGGCGGCTCCTTGTTGTTGATTTTCAAATAAACAACCATTATTGAGATTACTCCACTGTAATCAAGGAAGCCAGGAGAAAAGAACACCCACTTTCAAAAGTAAATGGTTGCAAAAGAGCAAGCTGCATTTTTCCACAAAGGCGGAAAACCTGACTGTGGAAGGCAGAGTACACACATCTCTTAAAAAAAGAAATAACTCAATCTTTATTTCACAGTCTTATCAGGAAATTACTTTTATAGGAGACAAAAAATGAGTTTGTCTTCCCAAAAAGTTAGAGAGAAAGCCTTTTCCTCATGTCTATGAATGTTGAGCTTTAGACACAGGAATCAGTGACCCTAGAGTCATATAGCACTTAAAAAAAAAAAAAAAAAAGATATTCCCTGAAAACATTTAAATGTAAAAATGCAATCTATCAATGGAGGTAACTTTTGTTTTCTCTCAATAAGGCTTAACTTTTTTAACAAATGGGACACTTATAGCAGCTTGGAAAACCTAGATATTGTCATTAATCATACAACAACTAAAATAATATAAACTCTACTGAGAATCATTCCCACAGCAGAATGGAAAAACAACTAAGGGGCTCCCAGGAACTGAAAGAATACCTTGTATTTGCAAGTTACTGCATATTAGTTGGTTTACTTTTCTGACAGAAGCCCCTACTTGGGTTTTGCTGTGGTGGGCTGGCTTGTAGTAGTACTATAGGGTGAAATTTGTGTTGACTATTTAATTTCTTTCCTTTTGATGGTATCACTCTGGAATGCCTGGGCCTCCATGCTGCTCATTCTCCAGCTCCTATAAACTGAAACTATTGATTCTCTGAGGGCTGGAGACCAAGTGTCAAAGCTGGAGGCCAATATTTTATGTCAGAAATTCCATAGGGTATATTTGTTTTAAATTGTGCTTATTCCATCTTACAGTCCTCCCACACCCAAGATCTGCAGGCATCATACATACTCTCAATTTATAATTTAGAAACAATGAGTTCATAGCCAACAAGAAAAGTACTAGTCTAGATGTAGTAGTCACCGTACTTTGAACTTTCTTAACTTAGCAGTAATTAAAGGAGCAGAAATTACAGACTTCCAGGGTGTGTGTCACGTTTTTTACAGACTGATACTTCAGGACAACTCACTGCACCTAATTTCTGTATTGCCTTCCAAAGAGGAAGGAATTCAGTCTTCTGGGGCTTTACCTGTAATGTGGACTGGTCTTTGGAATTATACACAAACAAGAATTCAAGAATAACATCCCCAAATTTTTGCTTTGACCATATCTCAACAAAAAAAGAATCCAGTGAACCTACATCTGGCAACATTCAATAAGGAAAGGAAAGGAGGCAGTTCAAAGCATCTGTTTACTCCATCCAAATGTATTTGGATGCAGGTATTTCAGCCTCAGTCCTTTACAATAAGAGGAAAACCACAGAGCATATTCAGCAATTAGGGGTTGAGACCATCCAGATCTATTTGAAACATTTATAGACAAAAGGAAAATTTCCAAGGGAGGAGGAATTAAAAGGTTAAGAAAAACAACAACAACAGACTGAATTTCCATGAGAAATAGTGACTTAAATTCACACAGTAAACATTTCATTGGTGTTTTGTTTTGCTTTGTGATTTATGATCTATAGGTGCAACTTCTTAGATTTAAGATAGCAGGGATCTGAGATACATAATTTGTCAGACTAAGGGAGGTGGGCCAAAATGATTAGATTCAACTTTCATTAGTATAACACCGATCTCTGCTTCACTTTCTTAAATCTGAAACTTTTCCTACTTGATTTGTAACAAGTTTGTAAAAATTTCATGTTATTTAGGAAGAAATCGACCGGTGTTTTGCACAGAACCTGATGGGCCTCATCACATAGTAGTACAACAAAACACTACACCCAATAAGTGCATTTCTTTCAGGCAAAAACATTACAAGCAAAAATGTCAACAAAACCATTCAATCCTGTTAACTGTTCTTCCAATCTGGAATAAGTAGAAATGTATGGAACCAGGAATTTTAAACAGTGTTTTTAATTGAAAATAAAGCTAAAGCATGCTTTTCAACAGTGCAAATTTCCATAATTTTGATTTACTGCTTCCATCATCACCACACAGTACACCAGCATGGCCCTTACCAAGGGCTAGACCCTAGCATTTGCATGTTGAACTACTTTGATTTTAAGTGCAAATATAGATAGTCACCTCTGATTGTCACTTGCAGTAGAAACTCTCCTGCTCTATACACAGGATGGTCTGAAAACAGAAGTTTAGAGAGATGCAGAAAAAGTATAAGGTAATAAAATCCAAGTGCCTGAGTTCTGGTACCAAAAAGCCCTGAAATATCTGTTATTTTTCATTTGGGATATTACAACTCTGACCCCTCATTTTCCTTTTCTTGGTTGTATTTACTGCTTTGTCACTATGAAGAGTTAGACCATAAAATATCCTGCCATTAAGAGAAATATTTTAATTGTTTTGTGAGTTTGAAGAGTCATGTTCAGACCACAAAATAAGCAGGACAATAATAAGAGTCACCTTATTAAAAACCTTTGGGTGAGAACAAAAAAAAGGACTTTTCCAATTGCAAGGAGTGGCCTTAAAATCACACCCTTTACAGGAAAAAAAAAATACAATCCCACATTAATTTTACTCAGCATATATGAGGCAGCTTTTACCAGCATTCATTCAGGGCTCATACCCCAATCTTTCCAAAAAAAAAAAAGTTAAGTGCAACTACTCTTGGAGAAGGAATGAGGGGAGTCAAAATAAAACGATACCCCATGAACAAGAGCTCCAGAAAATAACATTTGGGCTCACAGAAACTTCTTGCTACCTCACTGTGTAACCATGTAACCTAACAAACTTTCACTGAATTAACAGTTACACTTTCAGGTCTGAAATCTAGTGCATAAACTTAATGGCTCATTGTAATATTTATTATTCAACCTTTTGACATTTATTTGTAGCAGTTGAATTGAGGTACCGGGTGCATTATTAGCATTGAAACAGTAAAGTGTTCCAGCTCTACTGTAATAACTGAGTTTTACTTGAGTCTTTAGCCTGAAGTAGTCTGTGGAATGTAAACCAACTCTTCTCCCACCCCGCCCCCACCCTACTTAAAAAAAAAAAAAAACCCTCAATGGAAAAAAAAGTAATCCGATTTCTGTCTTCGAAATGTGATAAACCAGGACTCCAAAGGGGGTGTAACACATTAATGGACTTGTACAAACCATCCTGTGCAGTTTACAACAAAAGGAAGGTAATATGGTTCAAGAAAATATCTTCCAAAACATTTTTATGAATTAAATTTCCTGAATTTGTGACTAGGTGGAAGAGGTATTGCAGAACCGCCCAGCTGCCATTTCCATATAGGATGGGCCTTGTGAGGAGGTTGAAAATCCTTAGTGGTGTTTAAGGAATACGCCGGCCACAAATCCCCATCTTTCCCAATAATGAGTGATGGTGGACAAGGAAAATTTGCCATGAAACTAAATGGCCTTTTCACTGCTGATGCTACATTGCTGGCTACCTTTTTGCGTCTGTTTATAACTGTAAAATCATCCAGTGTTCCTTCATGGGTCTCAGTTTTACCTGTAGGACGAGGGCTTCTAGCTGATTTCAAATTTGGTTTGACTGGAGGTGTCTGAAGGACAGGTCTCTTTCCCAGCACTAGTGTCCGGTAATTTTTTCTCACCCTGGCCCCAAATTTATATTCCCCATCCTCAGGTTGTGGAGAACCTAAAGTGCATGACAGGCCCTGACTCTGAGCCAGTGGATTTAAGGAAGGAGTTTCTTTTTCAGGGCATGCAAAACCTTCCTTGGCTGTAGTTAACAAGGCGTCCTCCTCTTTACTTTCAGTCACACTGTAAAACTCACCCTTTGTATCATTGCACTCGCACTTTAGCTTATTCGTAATAAGGTCAGGTTCATATTCTTCATTAGCACTACTGTCTTCGACTTTGATTTTAATGTTGTGCAGAAACGGCACTGTCCTGTCGCCGGCGTCAGTGCCCGGGTTCTCGGCTTGAGTTGCGGCTGCGGCACCCACTCCGGGATCAGCTAGCGAAGAGGGCAAATCCGTAGCAAATTCAGGACAATAAGGGATTTTGGAATCTTTTTCTGAATTTGCTGCTGCTCCAGAAGAATCGCGGTTTAAGAACCTAGCAGCTATTGTGCTGTTATCAGCACAGTGTGTGGCAGGAGTTGCTTGTAGGCATCTCCTAGGCTCTCGGAGAATTCTTTGTTGTGGAAATGCATTGTTTGTCTTTGGGCTAGGTGAAGAGGCCCCCTCCGCCAGGCAGTTAATTGTCAGGTCAGTTCTCTTTACAGTACTGGAGATTTCAGAGTGTGGGAATGTAATCTCAGATACCCTATCGTTCCTTATCTCCGCGAAACAACTCCCCAGGCTGGCCGGGCAGTACACCGGAGACGCTTTGGGGGCCCAGCTCTGCGGACTCCACTCCTCCGGCGACTCCGCTTTAACACTGCTCTTGAGGTCGGGAAGTCTGCCGGCATCCTCGAAAGCAGCGGGTTTGGTTGCGGCGGCGGCGGAGGCCAGATGGTACAAGAAGTTGGCCTGCGCCTGCACGCTGGGAGGCTTGCAGAAGCTGGTGCGCCTGAATCGGATGCTCTGCACTGACACTTGGCTGGAGCCGGAGCTGGAGTCCGACTCTGAGGACGAGTCCTCCTCCTCCGAGCTGACTTCACTGGAATCCGAGGCCCCGCTGCCCCCCTCCTCCTCCTCCTCCTC